TGGTAACTGCAAAAAACAACGCAGAAATAGAGAAAACAATAGAAATAAAAACCCAAAAATAAAAAATAAAATCAAGGAATATATCTATTTTTTGAATTTTATTATGGTTTTTTATTTTCTGCATTTTTGAATTTTCCAAAAAATCAGATATAAAAAGAAGTATTTTGGAAAATGCGAGAAAATAAAGGACAAAAACATGTTTGGGGCTTCTTTCTTCTTCCTTCAGTTTTTTTTTTTTTTAAGTTTCAATTAGAAATATAAAAGGTAAAAAAATGAAAATCCAAAAAAAAGGAAAAACACAAAATAGAAAATGAGTTTTCTCTTTTTCAAATGTTCTAATTTTTTTCTTTGCATTTATAGATTTTCTAAAAAATTGAAATGAAAAAACTATTTTGAAAAATGTGAAAGAGAAAAAATAGAAATGTTTTGGGGCAATTTTTTTTTTTTTTTTTTTTCAATTTCAGTTTGGCAAATGCAAAGAAATAAAATAGTAAATGTTTAAAACAGAGAAAGGAAAAACCATAAATGAAAAATGGAAAAATTAAGATTGTTTGATGTGTTATTTCTCTCAAGTTATTTTCAATTTGGTTTGAGCTTGATGAATTTTTTTTGTTTCTAGTTTTTGAATTTTTGTTATTTATTTAGATTCTTTTCATTCTTAGGTAAATGAGGTAGGTTGTATTAGGTAGGTAACCAACATAAAACTTTGTCAAAACATTTCTATGAATCCTGAGTCTATAATATATATTTATGCAAGGGCGTTCAAAAGAGAATTCGAAATAAATGCATTTGGAAAAATTTAAGTATGACACCTTTAGGCATAAGTGGGTTGGCATGTGTAGTGTAGCGCATCACTTGTTAGGAGGTACGAGTTAGTTCAATTGGAAGGCTCAAAGTAAAGGGTAGACCAAAAAGTATATGGTTGGAAGTAGTGAGAAAAGATACGATGCCTTATAACATCATGAAAGGTATGACCATTAATATAACAGAATGACGGATTAGGATTTATGTAGCTGACCCCAATTACTTGGAAAAAAGATGAGATGATGATGATGATGATGATTTAGATTATTTTCCTATTTTTTCATAATTTGTTTTTCAAATTTTCTATATTTTACTAATTATGTGTAGTGTAGTGCATAATTTGTACAACACTTGTTATGAGGTACGAGTTTGTTCAATTAGAAGGCTCAAAGCACAAGGGGAGACCCAAAAGAATGTAGTTGGAAGTAGTGAGAAAAGATATGGGGTCTTATAATGACTCTTAATATAACAGAATGGCGGACTAGGATTTGTGTAGCTGACCCCAATTATTTGAAAAAAAGCTGAGATGATGATGATGATTTAGATTCGTTAGCTATTTTTTCATTTTTTCATTTTTTTAAAATTTTTTCATATTTTACTAATTTAGTAATTATTTAATATTGTAGAGCGAAACTGTGAACCGGTCTGGTTAGGCTGATCTGACTGAACCAATGGCCCCACAAGTTTGGTCCTATTGACACTGATTCAAACTACAAAGAAGAATAGAGCTTAATTTTAACGAGTAAATTTGGTAATTTATGTGTCATTTTTGTTCACATTATAACTATTCGTTGTGAATATGAGATCTTGGGTGCGTCTCAAAGTTCAAGAAAATTTTCTTTTAAACTCTGAGCTTAGTCGATAAAATAAAAGCAACTACCCAATTTCATATCTAACGGTCAAAAATGATTTTGACAACGTTGTACCTAAAGTAATTTTTTCCTTTTTTTGCCATTCTATTATGCCTATAGGCTCAATAAGCTTTTTTATGTTCAAAGGAAAATGTAAAAGAAGAGGGTACCATTTGGACCAATTGGTTCACTTAAGAATCAGTGAATTGGCCGGTCCAAATTGCTGGCCAGTCTGTCGGATCGTGGCTAGTTCAATGTGTGACCACTTCTTACCCTTGATCGGACTGGAACCGCTAGTTTCTAGTGCAAACTGGCTGGTTCGGTCTAATTCTTACAACATTTGTCTGAAGTAAGTGCATACACAAAAACATGATATTAGACTTCGAGGTTCATTGTCCAGGCAATCTAAAAAACAAAAACAAAATTTTAAAAAATAAGTACAAGATGTAAAATCAAATTTTTGATAGGTCCCACACTGTCTCCATCATGTCAAACCTTTTCTCTTTTTTTGGGAAAGTATAGATCATTTACTTTTAGTATAAGGCGGTTACATTAATCTTGACCATTAGATGTGAAATTGGGTGGCTATAATTATGCCATTAACTAAACTCTGACTTCAAAAGAAAATTTTCAAACTTTGTGACATATCCAAGCTATCAAATTTCACATCGAATGATTGTACGTAGTTGTGACTACCTTTTATCAAAAGTAAATAATCTCATTGTATACTATCTTTTTATTTTATTTTATTTTAATTTTTTCAGTAGGATGAAACTCAAGGGGTGGCAACACACCACCCACCACGTAGTCTTGAGCCTATTCCTAAATCATGTCTAACCTCACAAATGCAACCGTTATGATCTCATGATCACCTATCTCATGGTTAAAGACCTATATCTTTGGGGTTATTTGTACTTTTTTTTTATTATGTATAATTTTAGCATGTATATTGTGATCCTATTGGAGCATACAATGCATTTATTCCCTCGTATAAAACACATATTTAAAAAGATTTTTTTGTTCAAAACTTTGAGGAACCACATGATGATTAATTTCAAAAGAAATAATTTGAATTTTGAGTTTTGTAATACTTAGATCTTGCTTTTAAAAAATTGGACGATATCTATTTGATCTCGAGACATTATTATTTTTAATATATAGAGTTCATCTCAGAAATTTTATTGAGATTAATGTAAGGGTTGTAGAAAGATTATATCCCCAAAGTCTAAGATCTTAAAGGTATTACAAGCCTATTTCATACCCGAGGAAGTAAATTGATAGTATACTCCGCAAGAGTATTTGCTCCAACGTGCTTCATGGGACTGCCGGCGGCTCTCTAACCCCACGACTACCAATCCTAGATGCGATGCTATTCCCACTCATCATCTCGTTTCATGCGGGCTAGATCGTTTTTCTACATGTGCAGTCCAGAAAGTGTAAAGCATCCATCTTAAAAATAAATGCAAGTAGGTGTTCCATTTAAAAACAATAGAAACCAACAGTCCAAACATTTCCTTACTCTAATTATTATTTATAGCTTTTAAAATTGGTTTCTTTTTTCATATTCATGTTAGAGATTACATATCCTTAAAAATTAGGAAAAATTACATAAATATTTGTTTTAGTTTTCGTTGTTACCAAAATATCAAATACTTTCCGTTATTATTGATATATCCGTTTTTTTGGGACTTTATAACAATTTTTTTTAAAAAAGACAACCGAAAATTTAACTTTGAGAATTGAAATTTTTTTTTTTCTGCCTTGTGGGTCTTCTGCGTATTTTCTCTCTACCTCTCTCTCTCTTTACATTACACGGAACAGAGAAGATTCAAAGTCATAACTTCCATCTCTCCCTCTGCACCATTGTGGACTCTTGGATCAAAGAGAAAACGATTTATCCGGCTCAACCCCCTATCTCCTCATTAGCAGTCCCTCTTCCTCCTATCATTTCCCACAAAGAAGGTAAAAAAAAAACAAATGGATCATTCTACCCATCTCTTTCTAAAACCCCACATAACGTGAACATAAAGATGAGATTTTTGGTTGTATTCTTCAGAAAGGTTCATACATATTGAACGTTTCTCTCTCCTCTTTTTACCCTTTTTTCTTCTCTTTTCGAAGAGGCTCTTTTGTGCTATGATGATTTCTGTGTTATTTCTTTTGAAAAGAAACATTTTTTACTTGAAATTCGAGACTTCTCGAGAAATTGAAAGATTTTGTTGGGACTCCTTTTACTTTATTTCTCTATTCATCCTCTGTAGTGGTGGGCTTTCTTGGTGAGTGATTCTTTGGCCACCAATCAAGTTCTAGTCCGGTGGTAATGAGTTTGCAGATAAAAGCCATGAATTATTGAACTTAAGAAACTGAAGATATGTATTGTAGTGCCCCTAATTTTTTTTGTCCTTATGGGAAGTTGGGTTTTTGATGAGTTTCATAGTGAAAAAGAGGGAGCATAGGAGAGGTGTAGGAGGGTTTGAGCAGATAGAGAGGGAGCATAGGAGAGGTGTATGAGGGTTTGAGCAGACAGGGAGTAGAGGAGGGTATGAGCAGAGATAGAGAGTCTAAAATTGCATAGGAGAGAGAGAGGAGAGCATAAAATTTGAGTGTGATGAGAGAGAGGATAGCATAAAATTTGGATGTGATCAGTATAGTAAAGTCGAACTTTCAAAGTTGCTAAAATCTTTGGTTATCAAAGGTGAAGAGGGACAGCCCTGACTATTAAAATATTACTTGTGTGGTTATCTGAGGTGTAGAGGGACAGATCTGACTATTAAAATATTACTTATGAGGTGAATCAGTGAATGCTTTCAACCAAATACAAATAAAAATAAAAATCTCGATCACTTGCTACAAACCCTCTAATTGCATGAATGATTGAAAATGACTAGAGATCATATCTGTGATGTACCAAAAAGCAAGGGAAGTTTAAAATAAGCTAAGGACCACAAGAGAGAGAAAACAATCCCCATGTCGAGAGAAAGATAGCGAGAGAATATGCAGTGTATCTACAAGAGAAAGAGAGAAATTTTTTTCTGTTTTCCAATAAATTTTCGGTTAGTCAATAATAAAAAATTTTAAATTTTTATTATTTCAAAAAAGCCGAACATGAGTAGTTTTGTTTTTTTTTGTTAAAATTTTGTTAAGAAGTCTAAAAAACGAATGTATCAGTTTTTTTTTAAAAATTTTATTATAAAATCTAAAAAACGAATATATCAGTAATAACATAAAATATTCAATATTCTAATAATAACGAAAACTAAAATAGATAATTACGAAATTTTTCTAAAAATTAAGTCTCAAAACCCATCACCAAATAAATTTATTAAGAGTCCTGCAGACCCATTTGCTGCATGGAAACCTGATCCTTTGAGTAAAGCGACCCATGTCTGTTATTCCCACCACTATTTCCAGTGGAAATAATGAAAAATCACAAGCCATTAATTTCCACCAACAAAAATCACTCTCAAACGTGGAATCAGAAGAATCTGCTACTGAAATGGATGCTTCCACTAATTTTTGTTTTCGCTGCGTTTCATCTCCACAAAATTATCTCTCTCTCTCTCTAAAAATAAAGTTTTGGTTTAGTGTCAGTCATGGGTGCGATTGCGAAGAAAGGATGGAACTATTACCTCTTACAGTTGCACCATCATCCTCTCGGGACCAAGGTTTACTACTGTTGATATCATGATCTAGGTTTTCCTTATCTGATGAGCTTTTTTTTCTGTTTTGTTTTTAGTGTTTCTGCTAGCTAAGTTCTTGTTGATTTTCTCTCTCATTGCGGTTCCTGCGGAGTATTTCTTGATTAGTACTCCCCTCATTGATTTCTCTAGCTTTGCCCTTGTTGAGTTTTCATGCTATTACTGTTATTGTCAAATTTATTCCCATTAATGGGATTTAGTGCTATCAGATGTGGCTCTGCTTGTTTCTCTGTACACTTGGGGTTCTTTTTCTCTCTCCAAATGGTGAATCGTCTTTACGCAGGCCATTACTGCCGGCGCTTTGGCCGGATGCAGTGATGCGGTTGCGCAGAAGCTGTCTGGCATTCCAAGGATTCAATTGCGGCGTTTCCTTCTGAAAGTGGTAAATTCTCTCTCTCATGGGATACATGCTTGATATCTACGTTTTTTTTAGGATCTGTTATACTTTTTCTTAAGAATCTGTTAGGAAACTGTGGGCTAGAGAATAAAGGGATGAGCAGCCTGGGTAGTTAACTTAGCCATTGTGAATATCTAAATAGGATTTGGGGATTTCTTTTGATTGGTAGCCTCTTCATTTGAATATTGTATGGGAGTAGGTTGGGGGAATGCCTATATAGAAATGTGAGTTACAATAATAAAGTATTGAATTTTGCCCCTAGAAAGAGGATCAAACTATCCTTCTGGTTGCAGTTTATGATCTTTTCGAGCAGGATCGTAATAGAATCTCTGTCTTTTACTTTCTTATTGGGTTTGATTTCTCGCTCTACTCTAGAGAGTTGGACTGTTGTTTTCGGTTTGGAGTTGGTTGCTGTATCACTGAATTCATATACAAAAGAAACCATCTCTCTTTAAGTGCTCTCTGCTTTCTTTACCCTCTGTATTGACCACCATAATTGAGTCCCCATCTATTCCTAGTAAGCCTTGACTTCTGGCAGATATACATTATATTAGGAAAACCATTACCCTGCAACAATTTCAAGGTTTCTCATGAGTCTTGCATCTCTTCCAAATGACTAAAACCTCTATAAATTTTACACCTGTCTCCCGTATGGATTCTCTACTTTTACTTTTTCTGGTTAATTGATTGTAGATAGAAGATCCACAACCTTGCTCTCTGTTTCGATTTACAGATGGCAGTAATTATGTCAGCTATAAGTGGCATGGCATCTTATAGATGCCAATCAATTTAAGCAACTACATTGATTGAAAACACAAAAAATAGATCGTATAAAACAGAAGATAATCATCCGAGAAAGCTTGCACTAGCTTGGAACGTCTTCAAATTACACATATCTCCAATGAAATATTCGTGAAAGGCTAACCACAATGAAGTGATATTGACAAAACCTAGATGACATAGTTTCTTAAAAAGACATATAAAACCATACATAAAGGATATGAGCAGCAGAGGAAATCCATTGATGCAACAATTACTCATTCGACCGCTTGCTGAGTCTATGCAAATGCCTTACTGCAAACTTGGATACACACATACGAAGTATGCCCCATTTTCCTCTTATTCTCATCAATGGTTAGATACTAACTTTGACAAGTTTGTCCATTTACAAATAGGAACAGTCATTCGTATGTTGAATCCTATAGGGACATTCTGAAGCTGTTTCTCCAATAACAATGACATTTTAGTTTGTCTATCATTGGTGATCATTGAGCCTGAAAAATAGGAAACTTCTCTTGTCCTTCATTAAAACTAAGACCTCTTTTGTTTTATTCATCTTTTCCTTATTATTTATGGGCCAGTGATATTGCCATTTACTTATATCGACAAAATAACAAATTACTTCTACAATTCTAGACATAAACACAAGATCCAGTTTGTTGGCTACAAGACCAATCTGAGCAAAGTTAGACACCATAATCTGTTGATTTGTTTAGACTACATAATGACTTTTCCAGTGTACATAGTTTTTCCAATTGACCTTGAACCATATACTCTTGCAGTTGTTCCAAAAAGGTGTTTTTTTTTTTAAACATTATCTCCATCCAATAAGGTCATTTTAGCATCCATCTGAAATAGTTCCAACTTGTAGTATGCTACTATTCCCAACATTATCCATATAGTTTTGTAAATTTTTACCCCAAAAGAATGTGCATCACCATAATACATTGCTTTCTTTTAGCTGCTAATTTAGCATTTGCAACTAAAAAAGAGAATCTAGCCTTATACTTCTTAATTGTTTCCTCAGCTTTAACCTTCCCAAAGATCTCCTTACATCACATGACTTTTTTGTCTTTCGGGATATCAAACAACTCTTGCAAATGGTTCCTTTAAGAAGAGTTATTGTCTGCATGTCATTTTTCTGCTTCACTTTTGCATGGCTTTCTGGATAACAATCTATTCTTGAATTTTCACATGTCCTTTTAATGAATTTACTAACAAGAGAAAACCTATTACATGTTATTTCTTAATTCTAACAAATGGATTAAATTTTATTATAAAAAGGTCGATTTGTACATTTTGTCAAACTTCTCCTTTGCGGGTATTTTCTGTCCATTTTATGCTCTTCCATGCACATACCATGCAAACACATTGAAGATCTCCTTACATCACATGACTTTTTGTATTTGGGGATTACTAACTCTTGCAGATGGTTCCTTTTAGAATAGTTATTCTTAGCATCTGTCAATTTTCTGCTTCACTTTTGCATCGCTTTCTGGGTAACGATCTATTCTTGAATTTTCACATGTCCTTTTAATGAATTTACTAACAAGAGAAAAACTACTACTTGTCATTTCTTAATTCCAATAAATGGATTTGATTATGATAAAAAAAAGGTCAATTTATACAGTTTGTCAAACTTCTCCTTTGCGAGAATTTTCTGTGCATTTTGTGCTCTTCCATGCACATCTCATGCAAATATGTATTCTCGTTACAAGTTCGTCTGTCTCTTCTGTGTACTTGTGATTCATCATCCTGCATTATGTATGTAAATACCATCCATTTCTGCATGCAAGAGTGAATTTGTGCAACAAAAGTTCTGAAAAAGCACTGCTAGATCTGTAACCATGTGATTTACATACTACATCTTAACTTATTATGATTTGTGATATTTGACCAATCTAATGAAATGCAGCTTTTTGGATTTGCATATGGAGGACCATTTGGGCATTTCATGCATAAACTAATGGATATAATTTTCAAGGGCAAGAAAGATTCCAAAACAGTGGTTAAGAAGGTAACAGGAACTTCAACTTCTGCATCCTCTTGCTGATCTTCAATATTTAGTTCAGTTCTTTAAACTCAAATATTTCTGGGCAGCTGCACTATGCCATGTTTTTACCTCCTTTCAATTGCATATTGTTTTGGTTATTATCTAAAGTTATATTTCTCATAGAAGCTACTAAATTGTATTTTTCTGGAAGCCATTTACTTGGAATGGTCTTACATCTCTTTCCAGTTAATGATGAAATGTTTAACAGAAGAAATTATTCTGATGCTTCTGTTCATGAAATTGTCTTTAGGTGTTGTTGGAACAATTGACTGCTTCTCCTTGCAACCACTTGGCTTTCTTGATTTATTATGGATGGATAGTTGAGGGTGAGTGAGTTAATAACTCTAAGTTCACTTTTCCAATCATCATGTTACTGGAGTAGAAATGGCATATTTGTAATTGTTTTCCCTCCCTATCAGTTTTAGAGAAATGGACTACTCCACTTATCTGTGAAGCAGGCATAATATATGATAATGCACTACTTAAATATCTATCTTACTAAGGGAGAAAAATAGAGTGTGGATTTTGGAGTCCTTTCTATGACTCCTTTTTCTCTATCATAAGTTCAAAAAGTCCTATATCTATCTTTAAGCACAGTCAATAAATCCAGCTTTCTCTCTCTTACTCCAATTTTCTTCCTATATTCTTTCTTCAAAAATAGAGAAAGTAGGACTCCATCTCTAGTCTTAGAATTTCATATCTCTTATTTAGAATTATCTTAATTAGTTTTAAAACAAATAATCTTTGTAATTTAAAAAACAACTTCCATAAATAGACATCATAAATAGGAAATGTTTTTACTTGAAAATTCATTTTTTTTATCTTGGCATAAATAATTACAAATAAAGTATAACAATAAGTATAATAATTGTAAAATATACAAAAGAAAAGTATACAGTTCACAAATTAGAGCTTTGTGCAATGCATGTGCTATTGGCCTGTTATATAAATGTGCTGATAACATGCCTTGTGTGCTTCTTATCGAAACTTTTTTTGAAGTAAAAGGTATTGTTCTGGAGGGCTTATTTTACATATGCTTGTGAACTTATAAGAACCTGCTCCATCATTAGTATGCGTGTTGTGACAGTGTTTGTTTATAGTTTTCAGCTCATTATTTATCAGGGTTCTAAAACTGGTTAAACTTGGTTCCTATATTTTAGTGTTATAAATTGTACAAACTTGGCTGAGTCTCTGACATACTTGGCTGAGTTGTACAGACGACTCTGACTTGGTTCCCTACCAAGTCCCAAGTCCAAGCGTTGTATTATAACATTGTTATTTATGTTAGATGTAATGGAGGTAATGCAGTCATTTTTTGTTTTAGCTTAATATTTGTACGTGTACATTATTGGGGTGCGTATTAGTTTGTGCAGGGTAAATCCATCATTTTGGCCATAAGTAATGTAATGTAAGGAAAGTGCAGATTCAACAGAATGCCGTATGATTTTCCTTAAGAGTTAAAGTTGTAGATTGTATCATGACTTGATGGGACTCAAACTTCCGTTTCATGGTTTTTCGTGAATGCTAGTTAAAAATTATTTATTTTTTAGTCAACTTGATGGACTGATTGATTCAGGTTATTACCAATGCTTGAGAAGAATTTCAGGATCTTCCATGAACTAGATGATTAAGATTCAAGAGTAGGAAAGCACTGCTTCCTGTTTGAAGGAGTCTAGTTTTGATATGCTGTGGCAATTTTTAATCGTTCATGCAATTCAAGAACTTCTGGTGTAGAGTTCCTTAAAGATCTTATTCAAAGTGAGCATGCAAATTATTTGATAACTATTTCTGTCCAGTAGTTTAGGCTGAAGATGCAGTCACATCCTAGCATATTTAATTTCCTGGCAGAGTTTTTGAATGATTGGGTTGTTTTTGAAGAAAATAGAGGAAATATCTCTCCTTGCTAGAAACACCTGATTGGTAACTTAGTTTTTGTGAACATCGGAGGTATACATATTTTATCTTTACAAGAAAGAAAGTGTGAGTATTGTAGTGATAAGGACTGTAGTACACTTCTTTTATTTAGAGAATGAGCATTAGGCCTGTTCAGTACTTTACTAGTTAAAAAGTGGGTAACCATTTTCTATTTACAATCCTAGGATCTGCATTTTTTCTGGTTTTCGATTGTCGTGCACTTGCACTATTTCCCTTTTTGTGGTGTTGTACCAAATGTTGCAGACACAAACTTTAAAAGAAACTGAAAGTGAGCATTTGGCTTACAGTGAACACTTCAGTCGATAATATATATTAGGAAAAATAGTATTAAATAAAATGACTCATGTTAGTTACAGGGGATAGGGTACCATAGTCAGTCCAAGACATCTTCTCTATCCCCTAAAGATGCAGTGACACTAGTGATGATCTGTGAAGCAAAAATATGAGACTTGGAGCAAATATGGGCAGGGGGGGGGGTGGGGAATAGAGTCAAATTGACTTTCACTAAGGATCATATCCTCATTTTTTGTCCCTTTCCAGTGGTGTCTAGAGCATTATAGCTCTTTGGCATGTTATCAGAGTTCTATATTGCTTAAGCTATAGCTAACCTAACTGGTCTTCCATTTCTTCTCTAGGCCATTGACAGCAGAGGACGATTGCTCAATTTTACTAGATAGGCCTGACATGAGACTCTGTTGCCTGGGAGCAATGCTGGTATTATGGATTTTCTACCTGCAGATTTTGGCATAGATCACCTTTCACTATGTCGTGGTTCTGCTGAAGCACTGGTCAAATGTAAGACTTGAGGTCTTGTACATGCAGAAGTTTCCTAGATTTCCTGCACCAAGCCTGCTTATCTAGTACACTTGTTTCTCTTTTGTTTCTTTTCTCTTATTTTATGTACACATTTAGATTTGTCTATACCCTTGGGGGCCATTTGATGAATACTTTATTTTTATCAATGAATTGTCAGCAACAGGGGTGTCAAAAAGCCAAGCCGCCATGTGAGCAGGCTTGGGTTCGCTCCCAAGGAGCCAAGATTGAGAAACATCTCTCAGCTCGAGAAAACAAGGCTGCTGACTTGTTTATTAAACAAGCCAAACTTAGGCTAAGACAAGCTTGCGTTAAGCTTGTTTGATGTGTTTCATACATAATATGTAAATATAATATATAATATACTATAATAGCCCCACCTCAAAGAGGAAACTCACCTAATATATATTATATTGAATTATATTGTATATTCTTGTTTATGGGTTTGGAATTATTTATGTGCCTGTTTAAGTAAACATGTGGGTGGAGGTGGTGGCACATCAGAAAGTCCCAATGTAACTAGGCTTCTTCCTCTTGAAGCAATCAGAAGAATCAACCAAATCCTTGTAAATAATGGGTCCAAGTAGCGGTAATCACATTCCATGACTATTTGAAGGATCATAGATTCAACAAACATAATCAGACCTCTGCTCTGCGTCGGTGCAGCCTATGACCCAAAATAGAAACCAGAGTCGGAATGCATCTATTGATCAGTAGTGGAAACTGTCATTTTAGAAACTATTTCTTGAATATTCACTACATAAATATCCTTGCTTCCCCATCCATTTTCATTGCTCCCTGGATATGATGGATGTCTTGAATTTCCCAGTTCACTGAACCATCTTTGTGATGTATTTGTCATCTCCCTATGATCTCTATCTTTTTTGGAATGTTCCATATGTCCAAAACACCTGTTCATGGGGCAGTTCAGAGATTATCTCAACCTATTAGATATTTTGATCCACGACATTGCCTCATAAGGATGCTTGCAACCTAACATATGGTGCCTAGTTGTCCTAGTTTTGAATGTGCCTTCACAAACTGATTTGAACAGATCTGTCCTGGACATTGTTACCAGGATCTTCTAAGGAGGGGGTTGCTCCCGCTCTGGAAGCTCAATCCCCCTGTCCCAGACACATGCTCTCTTGTCTGGGCATTTCCTCGATATAGGGATCTCGATTTGGGAAATCGAGGAACTAGATCCCGGGTTAATGCGATCCAAATCCCTATGCCCAAAATCATGGTTCCTCGAGTAACTGGAACCACATTAGGCACCTTCAATCCCTTCACTATGTACTGACTATATATCCCTTCTACTGGAATGCATAGTTGTCCAGTCCCTCCCTTGGATCATGCACTTCAACTCACGGAACCGCATTAGCCACCTTCAATCCCTTCACTCTATTTTGATTATCTATCCTTTCTATTGGGATTCACAGTCCTCCAATCCCTCTTGGATCATGCACTTCCTCTCTGTCATCCCTCAGCCACACTCTCCACTCCTTTGTCAGGAGGCCCATTATAAGTGCCACCTGACGATCTGAAGAATTTCGCCTGACCTTTTGTAACTATGTCTTGCATCTACAATCTTACACTTGCCCTTATGTATAATTGCTATTTGGCCATCTGAAGAGTCTCATTTGATCTAAGCAATAGTGAACACTCAGTATAGATGTGAGACCTCCATAAAATAGATTCGCCAACCAATCCCAAGAAACCCCAAACAACGTCGTCCGCCTTGTTTGTTGTAGGATATTGTTCGACACACGTGAATCCTTGGCGCGAATAAAGGAGAAGCCAATCGCAACCTAGCTCTACAGGTACCAAAACACCTGTGGACTACGGGAGCACTTATCAAATAAGCCTAATTTTTGGATGGATTTGGAAAGACATTGGATCATTCCCAAAAAGCATGAGAGGATAGTATTTAATGCCCTAACGACACTCGTCAAGTTTCGTCCAAGTCCGACAGAGTTAAAGCAGATCAGGATGAAATTTGGTTCACGATTCTAGTTCCTATAATGCTGAAAAATACCTCATAACTAGGGCCCTAGTATTGAGGCATTTGATGAGCATCATACCACCACCATTAGATTTGGAACGCCCAGAAAACCCCAAATACCAATTTGCGGCTCATTTGGACCTTTCTGGACCATTATGAGCCTAACTTACTAAAAATGGGTGGGTTTTACACTATTTTGGTGCAGCCTTGGTGAACCGGTTTCTATTTATGGAAGTTGTGCCATTTGATTTTGGGATTGCTTTGAGAAGACCATAACTCTTTCATCTTGAGGCCAATTAAGCGCAAATTTTGGTATGAGATAGAGCTCATCAAGACGCCCATTTTGATATGTGGCAAGACTCGCGACAATGCTCGAAACAAGAGAATTTCTAGAGAGAAGTTAGATTTGAAAACTCTTGCAGAAATTTTAAAGAGGAACTGTTAACTTTCTCAAGAAATTTTAAAGAGGAACATCCCTTCATTCAAAGGGGTGTATCTTGAAGCCCCGACATCGGATCGCCTCAAATGTAGGTCTGTTGTGACCATAATTCAGAGGGCTTCGATTTGAGGTAAAATTTACACAAGATGGAAGACCAAAAGACGCCGTATTTCGAATTCACAAAAAGGCACTTTTTTCGGCTAATTGAATCGCTTTTTTTGACGACTTCCCCAATTTAGAAAGCAACAATCCGGCAACCAACATGAGAGATTTTTATTACAAAATGACCATGACGGTATCCCCATCGATTTATGATGAAGAAATCGACCCGAAACATCAAGAAATGATCAAGATCAAGCGTCGAAGATCTCAAGTCTATGGTCTTTGACCGGATTTTCAAAGTGGGTCCAAAAACCCGATTCAAGACCAAAGCTATATATCAAAATGATCATCTCATCGAGCTCGTCTTGTCTACGTCATTATTTTCATTGGAAGATCGTCGGAAACGCCTGAAAATGCCCTTGAACCATGGTTATGGCTTATGGAACCTTTTTGGAGACCATTTGGCCATTTCCATGATTCTAGCTAGGGGCAAAATCATCATTTTATCCCAAAAACGGGATTTACATTTTAATTCAATAAATTGTAATATTTGACAATTCTTTTTACTTTTGATCATCCACCCTTGTTTCAAGGGGATGATATATAACTTTTTTAAGTCATCTGTAACCTACGGTTGGAAAGAGATAAAAAAAATTGAGCTTGCCCTCTTAAGCTTGGTTCTTGTTCCATCATTCTAACCCTAAGAGAGAGAAGAGAGAAAACTTTTACACCTTGAGGTCTACCCATAGAACTTTCCACTTCCCACTTAGAACTTCCCACTTCCCACTTAGGACTCCCACTTCCCACTTAGAATTCCCTACTCCCATCTTGGAACTCCCCACTTCCAACCTAGGATCCACCACTCACTTCCTTACACTCTAATCCATAAATCTTAACCCTTCACCCTAAACCTCTTTATCAAGACCCTAACCCTTCCCAAGGAGTGCTTCAAGGACATCAGGATCAACCCAAGCTAGGTATCTGATCGTTTCTCTCTATCTCTCTCCCCCTTTTTCCTCTTAGTCTGAACCGGTGGCCAGGCTATCGATTCCCTTCCTCTATCTTGGCCTAAACCGGTAGCCAAGCCACCGGTTTCCTCGTCTCCCCCCCTCTCTCTCTCTCTTCTCTGGCCGTCGGTTCCTCGTCTCTCCCTCTCTCTCTCTCTCTTTCTCTCGTCGTCGTCCTCGTCTCCCTCCTCTCTCTCTCGTCGCTCTCTCTCTCTCTCTCTCTCTCTCTCTCTCTCGCTCTCTCTCTCACACCTAAACCGGTGGCTAGGCCCTACCATGCTCGCGAGCTTGTCCTCACCCATCTTCCTCTTGAGCGTAGATCATGGTTAATGCTCACGGGCTCCAGCCTGACCTAAGGCGAGAAGGGACTCTCGAGCCCCTCACTTCCAACCTTTCGACGCCAACAACCCATCTATCAGTGATGCTTGCATCGGTTGGTCAAAAGCCACCACCTACTGCATTCACCCAGCTATCGGCAAGTCACTTGCTGGTCTTCTTGCTCTAGGTAACCGAAAGGTCACTCCTCACTTAAAGAACTTATATATCATCCCCTTGAAACAAGGGTGGATGATCAAAAGTAAAGGAATTGTCAAATATCATTTTCATGATTCTAGCTAGGGGCAAAATGACAATTTTGGCCTTAGCTAGAATCGTGGAAATGACCAAATGGTCCCCAAAAAGGTTCCATAAGCCATAACCATGGTTCAAGGCCATTTTCGGGTGTTTTCAGCGATCTTTCGATGAAAATAATGATGTAGAAACGATGGGTTATCAGATGATCGTTTTGAATCTTTGATATGTGGCTTTGGTCTTGAATCAGGTTTTTGGACACACTTTGAAAATCTAGCCAAAGATCTTCAACGCTTGATCTTGATCGTTTCCTGACATTTCGGGTAGATTTCTTCATCATAAATCGACGGAGATACCGTCATGATCATTTTGTAATAAAAATCTCTCAATTTGGTTGCCGGACCATTGCTTTCTAAATTGGGGAAGTCGTCGGAAAACGGGGGTCCGGTTGCTAGAAAACGTGCCATTTTCTGAATTCGAAATACTACGTCTTTTGGTCTTACATCTTGTGTAAATTTTACTTCAAATCGAAGCCCTCTAAATTGTGGTCCTAGCGGACCTACATTTGAGGCGTTCCGATGTCGGGGCTTCAAGATATGGCCCTTTGAATGAGGGGATATTCCTCTTTAAAATTTCTGCAACACATGAGTTTTCAAATCCAACTTCTGTCTAGAAATTCTCTCGTTTCGGGCATTGTCACGAGTCTTGCCACATACCAAAATGGGTGTCTTGATGAGCTCTATCTCATACCGAAATTTATGCTTTATTGGCCTCAAGATGAAAGAGTTATGGTATTCTCAAAGCAATCCTGAAATCAAATGGCACAGCTACCATAAATGGAAATTGGTTCACCAAGGTTGCACCAAAATAGTGTAAAACCCACCCATGTTTGGTAAGTTAGGCTCAAAATGGTCTAGAACGGTCCAAAATGAGCCGAAAATTGGTATTTGAGGGTTTTTGGGCGTTTCAAATCCAATGGTGGTGGTATGATCTCATCAGAGGCCTCGGTAATTGAGCCCTAGGTATGATGTATTTTTCAGTATGATAGGAATTGGAATAGTGAACCAAATTTTATCCTGATCTGTTTTAACTCTGTCGGATTAAGACGAAACTTGACGAGTGTCTTTAGGACATTAAATATTACCCTCTCATGCTTTTGGGGACCGATCCGACCTTTTCAAATCGATCCAAAAATTAGGCTTATTTAATCAGTGCTCCCATAGTCCACAGGTGTTTTGGTACCTGTAGGACTAGTTCGTGACTGGCTTCTCCTTTATTCTATGATTTTGTACCATCTATGATCAGAAAGATTATTCTATGAAATGATGTGGGAGAAATTTGTCCTAGCACACAGCCAAGATCAGCATTGGTTGGTTTCCAATTAGATTGTGCATACCTTTCAATGGATAAGCCCAAAATGCTAGGTAATGCTAGTGCATCTCCTAAGGGGAAAATTTAGTGCCTTAATCCTATATTTTTTTTACTGAAAATCACTTTTGGTCCCTCTGAAAATTATATTTTTGTTCCTGCAAGTGTTGAACTGACTGAACATGGGACTTTGGTACTTTTCATGGCTAGATCATATTCAAATAGGTATCTTAGCAGCAGTCATACTGTTTTGTTTGGCTAAGCAGGGAGACCATGGCATCAGGTCAAGGATAAAGTTAAAAAGGATTATCCTTCAGTGCAACTCACAGCATGGATGGTATAATCACCTCCAATGATTATTTTTATTTGTTCTTTATAGAAGACGATAGGAATAGGATCTAATGAATTGGTGATGACCTTTTCTGCAGTTCTGGCCAATTGTTGGTTGGATAAATCACCAGTATCTGCCTCTGCAGCTCCGTGTTGTGTTCCACAGCTTTATTGCGTGTTGCTGGTAGTCTTCTTGGCCATTTTTCCCACTACCTTTTGAATAACCCTTGATGTTTTTCATTATTACAATTATTTCTGCATTTCTAGGGGAATATTTCTCAATCTCCGAGCCCGAACTGTTGCTTCAATCAAGGCTTAATGCAATGGACTTGACTCATCTCAGCTTAGCGAGTCGTGGCATGGCAAGATCTCCTCGGGCTGTTGGTTTGTATCTTTCCAAGCTTGTTTTATGAATATTCAGTCCTTGATTATTATTATCTGCAGCTCAACTGCGTTGTGCTTAGTAACCATTGTTTGGCTGTATAAGTCCTTCAACTGAAATTCCAAATCTGAATTATTGTTATCATCCATTTATTAAGTAGAATCCAATGAAAGTAGCTCTTTCTTTTTTCTAAATATTTTTTATTTATTTTTTAATTTATGCTTTGAACTTCCCAATGACGGGATTCATGTCTATATCTAGCGAACAGATCCCTCTTGGATTTCATGTTCCCTTCCTTTAGTTTCTTGGTTAATTATTATGAATTTGCACGTCCTTTCATGTTGGACAAAAATGTAAATGATGATTATGTTAAAGCCGTTGAGTTTCCGAAATTTAGAGTAGGATGAACCTTTGTTTGAGAGAACCTTCCCAAAGTATCAGCTTTGCCTGCAATGCATGTTCCAAAAAAGGGAGAAAAGATTGCAGCGTCCAAAAGAGGACTTACAGTGAAGTTATTCACCTCCCTATTTTGTCAAAAGTTTAGGTACGGACAGCCGTATATTACCATGTGATGTCATTTTCCTTCAATTATAAGGAGCATCCCCCAAAGTGTATCTAAGTTGTCATCTGGTCCGACAATAACAACACTGGACAAGAGGCATTTTTGCAAAGCAGACGCTCTGTCTGATATTTTGAATGTCAGGCATAGAGATTTTTTGTTATTTATCTAGCCGGTAGTTCTGCTATTGGACATTAGGTAGATCTAGCATGTCTGGTACTCCGGTGTTCGTGTTATCGGACAACAATCTAGAATGGCCCAAAACCCTGTCTGGCCCCGCTTCCCATTATTTATGCCCTTTTCTCTCAATCAGTGTTCAAAAAAGCGGACCGCCCAGGCCCTGCACCCCATCTAAGGGTGGTAATTTTTTTTTTTTTTTTTTCTATTGATTTTTTTTTTAACATAAAGAGTTTTAAGGATGAGTTTTAGGTTCATTTGAAACCTAAATCCACAAAAACCCATTTTAGAGATAAATAAACTAAATTTTGTGATTTTCATTGGATTGACGTGTTTCTCAAAATTATGAAAAACGGATCCAAACATCACCAGATAGATTAGATCTAGTTTTGGAGTTTTATAATCCTATTACGATGTATTTTTTATTATTTTAGCACCTGAAAACATCTGAGAAGTGGGAGTTTGGGCTTCGAACAATCACGTAAAACTTTCTTTTTTAGACTGCTTGTTTTATTTTAAGATGTCTTTTTCAAGATCTAGTCGAAGTGGAGATCTGGGTTGGAAATATGGATATAAGCCGAATCCAAATGACAAAAATTGCATTAGATGCACTTTGTTTTGAAAAAGATAAAAAAAGGGGCATAAACCGATTTAATAAACATCTTTTATCGGTATTAAGGGGGATGTTGCCCTTTGTAAAAATGTTCCTGAAGCTATCAGAGAGGAGATTAAACAATATATGAGTTCTGTAAAACAAAAATAGGAACAAAATTCTTGTCATTTGAATAGATATATTGCTGCTTCTAGAAGAAGTGATCCGGGTTGGAAGTATGATTATAACCCAAAACCAAACGATAAAAATTGTATAAGGTGTAATTTTTGTCAAAGAGATTCCAACGAGAGTATTAACCAATTGAAGAAATATTTTGTTGGTATTAAATGGAATATTGCTTCTTGTGAAAAGGTTTTTGAAGTTATTTGGGAAGAGATTAGATAATTTTTTAATTTAAAAGAACCAGAAAATGATGAAAATGAGTATTGTTTTGTAGAAATATCTTCTCTAGGTTCTTCTAGAAGTGGTGATCAGGTTTGAAAGTATGGTTATATCCCGAATCCGAATGATAAAAATTGTATTAAATGTAATTATTGTAGAAATGATACTAATGGAGGCATTGACCGGTTTAAAAACACATTGTCAGCATTAAAGGGGATGTTGCCCCATGTAAAAATGTTCCTGAGGCTACCAAAGAGGAGATTATACAATATTTGAGTTCAAGGAAGCACAAAAAGATAGAAAAGTGTAGAGCAACCAAGACTCCTAAGGCATCATCTGAACATATTAATAAAAATGAGGTAGAAGAAGAGGAGGTAGATGCAGATTCAGAAGAAACAGAGAAGGACGAGCGTTATATTGAAGAGGGAGATGACGTTGATGATGATGGTCTCCAATCTAATGCATATGATGAGGCTTACCCTATTTCTTCTTCTGATGATGATGATGACTGAAGACTCTTGGTGTTGAGTGTTGACTGTTGAGTGTTGACTAGTGTGTCCTAGTCCTAGACTATATATTTTTTAAATTTGTGCATATTTTCTTTTTCTTTTTTTTATTTCTACTTTCTAGTTTTTAGTTCTACTATCTAAATTTTGTGTACAATCTACAGTGTATCAGACTATCAGCGTATGCTTGTATAGTTTTATTGTTTTAATATTGTATGAAAATATGGATTATGGCCTTATTGATTATCAAAATTCTCTTCTCGACTTCCATCTTCTTCTTTTTTTCACTTGGGATTATAGTCTTATGGATTATCAAAATTCTTATGGATTATGGTCTTATGGATTATCAAAATCAAATAATTTTCTTCTTCTTCTTTCAACTAGGCCACCTAGGTTCTGAGCCTGCTTAGGCGTTGGGCGGCCTGGACCCCATGGCCGCCTGGGTGCCACTTGCTTTTTGAAACTATACTCTTTATCCTCTCTCTCTCTACCCAGAGCTCGCTTTTTCCAGAGCGGTCAACTAAAGCTCTACTTTCATAGACGTTTGGCCATCTGTCGACTGCTAATCAGGCATGTTTAACATCTACAAACATTTAGATTTATTTTGTTTTTATGGAGGTTTTCATCATTTTTACATCTACTGAATCAATGACTCTAGGGCTTTGATAGTTAGTCCAATCATCAAGAAATTTTCACAAATGTGTAATGGTTGAGTATTATATTGAAGAAAAATATGAGTAATGGTGGACTGGAGTTTTGGGGCTCAAAAAACCTAATGTTTGGATCATAAAACCACTTAAATAATAAAATATTTCTACATTTAGATAGGGTTTTGCTAGTGGGATGAATTACGAGTATTTTAGAACAAATTTGAAGCTTTTTGGTTGAGACTCGAAGTAGAACAAGAATGGATGGCAGATTGGGGTTTATTGTGCTTGTTACCCTTTGTTAAAGTTATTCAAGTGTTTTTATGCCCTTTTTTTTTCATGTTACTAGATCTTTCATGGGATGGATTCCTCTATGAATTGTGCTTATGGAATAGTTAAAATATGGGAAAGGTTGTTATGCTTTTTCTACATAGAAGTTCTATCCTCTCCCTACCATCCAACCGTCCAATTTTGATCAAGAGAGTCACTCATCGTTTGATCTTAGATCCGATGTATCAAAGTATTTTATTTTTTCGTTTTTTTTTATACAAATTGTATGAATATGAAATTTGGTATGTGCCATCTTCTCATTGGGGCGAACCTATAAAAAATATTAAAAATAATTTTTTGATAAAATACAATGACCAAAATACCCCTTAAACCTTTCAAGGATATTTTGCTTATTTTATTTATTAAAAATATTTTTTTATATATATTTTTCAGTAGTGCGAGTTTAATAGAGGAATGGACGTCCAAAATTTGGTATCAAAATAATTTATAGAAAAAACATTAAAAATAAAATAGTGTAGAGACGTGACATTGTGATTGGGGCAATCTTTGCCCTCCATTCAAAATGGACGCTTGGATAAAAGAGAGGATAGAACTTCTATGCTATAGGAGAAGCATAGAAAGCTTGCCCTTAAAATATATTTTTCTGAAGTGACTTTTATAAGGTTCACCTTTTGTTGAGATTGTTGAAGTTTCAGATTTTGAAAAATCCGGTCTATTTTTACAGGTTAACTACATTGCTAAGAATTGGAGAAGGGGTGCATTCTAGGGCATAGACTTTTTCATGTTTATTTTCTTTAGCTTTTGCTGTAAATTTATAGGCAAGTGTGCTGGCTTGGATTAGTATTTTAGAATGTTTACTGCTTTCATTTGGTTTGGAGTAATTGTGAAAACATGATAAACCTTATGTGATTCAATGGGTTCAAAACTAGAAAAGTATGATTAATATTTGATACAATGCAAGAAGTATAGGTCTTGGACTCTGAAACCTATATTCATAGAGCTCAACTCTTAAATTCTTAATCTGGAATCATAATTTGTGAACGCGCAAATGTTGGGTTTCAACATTGGAATCTAGTAAAAACATCTCCATCTCTCATCTGTGATCGTCTTCTTTGGTTAAAACGGTGTAAATGATTTGATCATAAAAAAGAAAACATGATTTAAAGGATCCCGAAATCCTAAACTCATCCTTACCAATTCCCTTAAACTAAGTGACTAGTGTCTTGCATCATAGAATCCCATCACACTCTTCCGAAAAAATCTTGTGCCATTGTTATCAATTTTAAGGAAAAGGCCATATAATTCATTTCTTTGTCCCACAAAATGAATCCTATCAACAAAAATAGAGAATTATTGACATTCTAAGTATAAAAATCAGAATGTACCCTCGACACCAAATATATCACAACATATCAGAAAAGGAAAATTGCTAAAACCCATAGAAAAATTGGCCAATTAGAGAGAATAAACAAGAGCTAAAGGTTTATGAATTAAAAATATGAGAATGGAGGAGAGAGAGGGAGAAAGCGTATCTGTTATCGTAGAACTTCTTATGGCGTCCTGGTTTTTACTCGAAAATTGAGATTGAGAGCACGAGGGTTTGTGGAGGCTTTTGAACGAAGAGAGAGAGGGTGTTGTGCTGGTTTGAACGAAGAGAGAGAGAGAGAGGGCACGAGGGTTTGTGAGTTGTGAAGCTTGCTGGTTTTGAGGAGAGGGAGGGAGAGAGGATGTTGTGCTGGTTTGAACTGAGAGATGCAAGAATAGGAAGACAGAGGGAGACTAATTCCATTCTGACAAAGGATGGCACATTTTGAAATCGTCACCATCCATTTCGATCGAGTGGACGCCCCATTTCCTACACTCAAAGCGTAGTATATCATTTTATTTGGGGTGCGGTTTGTATAGAGCTTACTTTAAGATAATGTCGAGAAATGTGGTTTTAATACTGAAAATCACGGTGATAGCCTTAAAATATATCTTCATCTTTATTTATAAAGTTTAAATCTTCAAAAGTAGTGTAGATCGATAGATCTATAAAAACTTGAAAATATTGAAAATTGACGAATCAAAAATACGTTTCAAAATACACTATTTCCAAAACTTGAAATCCATTTTTTTCTCATGTCCATACATCTTGATGTTGTAATGATCAATTTGGAGATATTTGGGCATCAAAACAACCTCTTCTAATAAAATTTTTTAAGTACACTATAATTTGATGGTTTAGAGCCTCGCTCTATGTGAACTTTTCCCTTTTATTTATAGAAAAAGTTTATATAGATCCCAGGCTCTAAACAGTCAAATTCAAGCCCACCTCAAAAATTTCCCAGGAAGAGGTTGTTTTGATGTCCAAATATCCTCAAATTATCATCTCGACATCAGAAAAAAATGGATTTCAAGTTTTGAAAAATAGTGTATTTTGTAATACATTTTTGAATCGTCAATTTTAAAGATTTTCAAGTTTTCATAGATCTGTCGATCTACACTATTTTTTAAGTTTTAAATTTTATAATTAAATATCAAAATATATTTTAAGGCTATCACAATGATTTTCAATATTAAAACAACATTTCTTGGCATTATTTGAAAGTAGGCTCTAATTGATTGTTTAGAGCCTGAGCGCTTTTTGAAACACTAA